AAGCCTGAGGGTGGACGCAGATCACATTCTCCAGGCTCAAAAATGTCTGTGATCATAGGGGAAAACAGAACCCAGAGCTTGGTTTGGCTGCTCACAGACATGTCTGCAACCAAAGGCAGTCCTGGAGCATATCTAGCCCAATTTTCTACCAGCCAGTGCAGCTCATTGACAGGCACAATAGTGATTGATTGGTACCCTGAGAAGCAGCACAGAAGCAATGGAGAAATGAAGGGGCACTTTTAAAAATTAACACAGGAATCCCAAAGAGAACTGCAGCAGGGGAAGCCAGCATTAAGAGAGATCCACTGGCCTTTGACTGCTGAATCTTTCTCCAGGAATCTGGGGGTTTGGAGTTCTGCTTCCCTGTCTTATAGTTATTAGAAAACATGAGCTAGTGGCTCATGAAAAGTAGGTTTTTCAAGTTGCAGGTATAGCAGAGCACCTTTTTGCAAACACCCAAACTGTTTTGGGAATCAAGCTGTAAAATCACAATGAATCCAGCAAATGAGATCAAATCCAGATCTTTGAGACAGAAACATTTAAATTGTAACACTGATTCATCCCACAATGAGTTGATAACTTTATTTGGCTTCAGGAGATAGCAGACAACTGGCAGTAACATTATTTTGGGAAGAGGGGAGAGAATCTGAGAATCTCTATCATTTTCACAGAGCAAGACTCCCAAACAGATGATGTAATTTTCAAGCATAGCACAGGTCAGGCCCACAGCCTCTGCCTGGCCAGGTATCTAAACCTATTATTTGGCTACTAGGGTTAGTCTTCAAAGCAGTGCTCAGATGCCACTTCAGTCTTTACACACCATGGTGTCTGCCAGCTGATATTGAATGATGGCCTATGTCAGAAAATTCTCCCTTCTCATAAAGTCCTAATTTCAAGCCAGATCCTGGGGTCAGGAACCAGGGAGGCGAGTGCCTGTTCTGCCAGTGGGACCCGATGCTCTGAGTGCATGAAGATCTTGCATTTGTCAAGTTCAGTAACCAGGATGGGGCAGCTGCCAGCTCCTGCAGCTGCTGAGAAGCAGCACAGCCCTGATTTGGGCAGCCCGGGGTGAGACACCCCTCACAGCAGCATTTCCCTTCACCCCTTTGTAGGCACCCTGTATCCACCCTGGTGTGGATAGTGGATAGTGGATAGTGCCTGGTAGTTAACAGTTAACTACCAACTGGCTGTGAAATGCCTTTGCATCAATATATCCATCCAAAGACACTTGCCCCAGGACATATAACAAAGGAGGGCAGCATCAGAGACCTTGCAACTACATGTTTACGCACCTAATTTATTAAAAATCCCAAAGCCCATCCACAGTTTGCCCTGAGTCCATTCACAGAAAAGCTCTCTCAACATGGTCATGAGAAACTGGTATATATGGCACATGGGAAAAGCCTGGATTAAAGTGGAAAATAATACATAGGTACCAAAAAAGCTGTCCTCAAACCCCTCAATTCAGTACCATTTTTCCTACCATTTCTTTTAATCTCTAATCCTGGAGGTGTTGAAGTATTCCCCTTGCCAGAGTTAATGCTGCCAACATGATATTGCTGGAGCCTCTTACATAAATTTTCGTACTACATCAGTGCACCAAGATTTTCCACTACTTGCAGTAACACACTCACGGGTTTGGACCAAAAATCCGTTTCACTTTGCACTTTTCAATATGTGGTGGAAAAAAGAAAAGAAAAACCCAAACACATAAAATCACCATGAAAATAAACTGTGGTTTTCATCTGCAGGAACGGCATGTTCTCCCTCCCTTTTCTCCACTCTCTGGAGCATTTTCTATTAATATTAATGTTTTTTTCTGCCCAGCTGTTTCCTCTCAGGGTAATCTCCCATGTAATCTCTTCACAGGTGTGGAATCTTTTGTAACAGCCCCAAATTGCTTTTTTTCCTGGCTGATAAAAAACCCCCACCTTCAGAGACCAAAGCTTTCACCCTTTCAAAGACACTTATAGTACTAAAGGGCACAGACTCAAAAGCATTGAAAGCAAGACCCCCACAACCCTCACCACCTCCCTGCAGCAGAATGCATTGTGCTGTGAAAATGATGAACGATCTTCAGCAGGGTGATCGTGTGTTATCCTTGACAGCCAGGAGATGGGAGCTGTACCTGGTGTATATATTCCTCCAGAGAGGCAACAAAACAAGGTGGCTCAGTCCTGCTTCCCAGGTCACATCCTACATCAGCAAGCTGCTGAAAGCAATTGCTGTGAGCAGCCACTTTACTCTCCATCCCTCATCACTGCCTCCAAACTGCAAATCTCTCCTGAGGAGAGTGCATTACCTGCTCTCTCGTCCCAGTCATCCTCCAGTCTGTTATGGGCTAGCTGTGCTGTAAACAGGGGTTCCTGAGAGCCCACACTACTGCTTCCACTTCTCATTTTGCAGAGAGAGAGAACGAAATTGAAAGGCCCACAGGAGGAACGAACAGTGTCATGCTGACTTCTGTTAAAAAAAACCCAAACAACGAAAAGCAGGAGGAAAATGAATTAGATTGGATACCAGGGACTGATACCACCACCAGGAGGAAGCAGTCATTGTACTTTACATTTGAAAACACAATTTTCTGTGGCATATAAGTCAAAGGAATAAAACTTGCTGCAGGCAGTAACTGCCATTTATTCCTGTAGCTGTACCTTGAAAAATCCCCCCATTTTATTGTGGGACCAGAATGCTGCAGTATGCTGCACAAGAGGACACTCAAGTGTTCCTTCCAGACAAGTGGCATACAAATCCCTGAACAGATGATGCCCAGGATACAGCACAGCACCTGTGCAAGCCCACCTGTTGTGTGGCTGACTATAGTCATATGCTGTATTTGCTAGCAACACTGATACTTCAGCCATGCTTATTGCTGCATAAAAACCAGCACAGGCTGCATTTTGCATGCATGAGATGTGCCTGCCCCCTGTTCCACAAGTTGAGCCTCCACTGGCAGGATGAAGGGCAGCTGTGTCACTGCAGCTCATCCAGCTCACCACCCGAGACCCTCAGGCAGGAAACATGCCTTTTTTATCCACCTTTTCAACTTAAAGATAAAAACTAGTATAATTTCACCTCAAAATTGCAACTTTGTTTTCAGAAATACTGGTTAAAAGTAACACTGACGCTAAGTGAGAAAACATTGTTGCCTGCTGAAGACCAGCGGCGTGCACACCCATAGGGAGCAACAGTGGGACAGTTTTCTACCCTATTTCCTAATGTCTGCTACATTAGGAAAATTCACATAAGCCCAAGTTTCAGGTTCATTCTAGAATCATGTTTATTCAGGAAACTGCAAGGCAGGAGCCTGTATTGTATCTGGCTGAAATGGGCACACAGGCTGCAGCCAGCACAGAGCCTGTGCCCCCATCACCCATGGAGAGCTGGTGTAAGAAATACTTTGTCATTATAAAGTAATTTATCACTGTAAAGAGCAAATTCTTACCAAACTGCTTCAGTGCCCATTGCTGAGGAGCTACACGTCCTATGTGACTGCATGGCATTTACTGAGAACCAGACCAGCGTGTCTAAGTCTACTCTTCTTCATCTCACAGCTAAAGAAACTGAGGCACATAGTGAGTGATTTGTCCCATGTTACAGAACAAGTCAGTAGCAGCACAAGGAATAAAAGCTGATTAGGAATTACAGTTTCACTGTTGTTTGATGTGTCCTTCATGCCAGCACAAGAAAAAACTAATCAACCAAAAAAAACCCCAAACCCATATAAGCAAAAAAAAACCCCATATCCAAGTCAAAGTAATTTTATTAATAACTCACAAGAGCCAATTGCTACATTGTGCTGAGAGAAAGCCACAGCTTTGTGTACCAGGGCAGAACTTGGGAAGCCGCATATGAAAATGCCGATTATGCAAATGTCTCTTATGAAAATTTTTAGACAAGAATGAAGCAGGCTTTATTTTCTTCAATTAAAACCAGAATCCTACATAGTTCATTAGCATGGATTCAGAGCAGAATGAATATTAATGTAGCCCACCTCTCCCAATTCTACCTGCCACAGATATCAAGGAAAACAAAAAGAAAAGGTTAGAAAATAGATTCCTGAGCAAGTGTAAATGCAACTAGCTAATGTCACTGAGGCACTGGCATCCTTGAAAGGTCACAGAGATCAGGAAAACCTTTTTGAGTGGAAGAAGACAAATGATACAGCTACCTTCAAAAGGGAAGAAAGATCTGTGGAACTATAGGCTGGACAGCCTCACTTCAGTCTCCAGGAAATTACTGCATAGCTGTTACAGAAGCGGTTTCAGGTACATGAAACAGCAGGTGATGGGGAGCAACCAGCCAGTGCCAATTTACCAAGGGCACATCCTGCTGGCCCATCCTAACTGCTATCTGAGAGGCAATGGTTGGTGCTGCGGCAGAAGGGAAGCAGATGTCATTCACCTTGACCACAGCAAGGCTTCCTACAGTGTACCCCGCAGAAGCCTTGTGGCCAGACTGAGGGTATAAACTACTAGGTGGATGAAAAAAATCTGGACCATCAGGCTCAAAATTGTCAGTGGTTCAAGTCTAACTGTCAGGTGATTACAAATTATATTCCCTTGTAGTTAAAGCTAGGGCAAAAAATGCTTTGAACAACTTCCTTAACAGAAGGATGGCCAACTAAGGATGCTGGTTTGTCTCTCCTGGAGAAGAGCAGTCAGAGGAAACCTAACTCATCTCCCATTGGAGAAGGGACTATGGAGATGAGTCACACCCTTCTCAAGTATTCCATGAAAGAGCCAGAGACAGCAGCTGCAAACTGGAACCAGGGAATTGGCCACAAAGGACAAATGCTTGCTCACAAGAGCAGCTAAACACTGGAATGAGTACCCAGGCAGGCTGTTGAACCTCCATCACCAGAGGTTTCCAAACCTCATGGTCTTTAACCTGGTCTAGCTTTAAAGTTGGCCTGGTACTTCAGAGGGGTTGGGCCTGATAACCTCCAAATGACCTTTCAATCTGATTATTTTCTGTAATTCTGTGATTCTAATTGTACGTGAAGAGCCACCAGCCACATTTATTCTGACAGGGCTTCAAGCTGTTCCACCTGTCACGTCTCAGACACTGTTACTGTGCTTCTTCAGCCAAAAACTTCATATACTGTTTCCGAGCAGGTAAATCATCAGCTGGCCTGTTGTATGGTGTCCAGACAGGTTCTCCAACGAACAGCCTCATCGCTTTGATGTAGTTCTGTCAAAGAACAAGAAGTAATTTAAGAGCTCCTTTCCATGGGATCTTCATTCTGAAGTTAATGTTTCATTTGCAATTCTATAGAAATAACTGAAACCATCTCAAGATGGACTGAAAGCTTCACATATTCCACAAAACTACAGCACTCCAGTGCTGTTCCCGCTCTCATCTACTGCCCTGGGAGATTTTGTACCTGTGCAGTGCAAGCTCTATGTCACAACATGTGCCTTCTCGACAGGCAGAGATGCTGTTTCTCCCTGTTTCAAAAAAAAAAACACCAAACCTAAAACTGCTGTCTTACGCAAATCTTTTGCACTGGATCCACAATACTGAGCAACGCAGCATCTAAATCCTACTTGCTTAGTTAAACAACAGCAATCAGAATACCCAAGATGGCTACTCAATGCTTTGGAAGAATACCAGAAGCTTCAAAGTGAGAGCCATAAAAGCTGAATGGGGAGTGCATAAACAAGCCAAAAAGTAATGCTTCAGGAAGTGAAAAGTCTCCTCATTCCAACAGGAAAAGCAACAGCCCCTGCCACAAGCTAACCAAAATTATGCCAGGTGCAAGGTACAGCTGTGGCAGTAGAAAATGGGATTTTATGTCCTACAGAAGCACTCCAATCACTGAGTTATGGGGAGCTCTCCTCTCCTGTCCACTATGCTACAGATTTAGACAGCACACATTTTCCAGGGGTAAAGCTGCAGTTACAAACATATTTGTAAAAGCCCAGAGGGACAGACACACAGATCAGGACTCCATGTGCCAATCTCACAGTCCCATTGCCAAAAATACCCTCTGAAAGCAGGTCACCTCCTGTGAAGCCAGCATCCAGCCTGGCACATGCTAGCTGCAAGTAGTGGACACTTAAATCCTTCTTTACCTGAAGGTGAATTTAGCACTTATCAAAACACCACTGCTGGACACAGATATACTCTGTCTATCCTCATGAAGATGCACAAGGCAACACAGAAGGATCCATCTACACCATCTCCACTTTAACTGACAGCGGGGACAATTGGGAGAGGGACAGCCATGGGTTTGGCTCTCATGCTACTGTCACATAAGATATGCTATGGATATCACGTGGCAATGACTTGCAGTTACAGCTGACGAGAGGAAGCTGGATTTCTGATCTGGAGATGAAAGGTTCAGATGCTGTGAATTATTTAGTATTTTTCATATTCCTACTTCATATTTAATATGTTTTGCTAATGAACTGCAAGTCTCAGGGCATGTAGTTACTAATGCGGTATCTACTCACATGATTTGTCATCAAAATTTACAGTAATCTATAACAACATACGTTCTCATCCAGTGTAAATCGGTGATATATGCCAGCAGGGAGGGTTATCATGTCTCCTTTCTCCATGGAAATCCGGATCCATTTGTCATCCTTGTCTCGAACATCAAAGTAGCCAGATCCATCTAAGATGTAGCGAATTTCATCGTCTAGGTGTAAATGCTCTTCATAAAATATTTTTATCTAGGAATAGCAAGTCTCTTAAAACTGCTGAACACAGAAAAACTGCAGAGAAATCTGGTAGAAACATGTAACAAAGCGGACAAAGGCTTTCAAAGGGTAACTGCACAGTGATTAACAGATGAGACCATAATGGCTGAAAGAGCGAATCCAGCCAGCCAGACCCTGTCTCGGGACACTTCTAAGCAAGGTGCTACATTCCCTTTGGAAACAGGAATTTCTCTGACAAGAAACAGCAGCCACAGCTGCACATAAGCAGTTGCTGAATAACAGTAAAGCTCACATCTGTTTGAGAGAGAGAGAGGGGTAGAGTTTCCCACTGCAGGATTTGGTCCTCATAGTTGTTCATTTTTATCATTTTGTGCCTTTTTTTTCCCCAAAATGCAAAACCAAAACAGAGTTACAGGTTATCCCCCCTCTTTTACACTGGTGTAGGGCTGAATCAGCAGCACAAGCTACTACAGCTGTGTGTGAAAATGCAGTTATTGCCAAACTTGTCCACCTACAGCAATCTGATGTAAGCAGCATGTCATGCCTGCCCCCACACAGCAAGCCCCAGCTCCAGGCTCTCTCCCTCCAGGTAACAGCCGCAACGTTCTGCTTTTTTCTGGAATGTTGAATTCTTTGTATCTGGAATGGTGAATTCTTTGTACATTTCACAGTATTGAACAAAACCGTGCTTTAAACATTTAACTAACAGAGACCTGAGCAGGTTAGTGTGATCACCAGCTACCATCACCCTCTCAGGTCTGGAGGCTGTTTAGCTCCACTAGTTCGTGTCCCTGAGCCAGTTCCAATACAATGCTGCAGGAGGAGCAAACGTCCATACACCATGTCAGTAATGGCTCATTTTGTGTCAGCTAGAGCCTGCCCAGGCAGCCTGAGTTACTACCTAATCATTCTGACATCAGTTTTAAACCAAACTTAAAACAAACTGGTAAACAGAAACATAATTAAACTATAGAAGTGACACTGGGTTGCTGTCCTCAGGTCAGAGGAGCACAGCAGCACCCAGAAGCTGGGGGGAGAAAGCTCCTTCTAGCAGGCTCATCCAAGAGCCTGGCACCACTGGCATTCAATTGTCAAGAAGCAGCCAAGGTACCAGCTTCCCAGGGTAAAAAAAAAGTCTTCTTGCACAGGGAATGCATCCCTCTGATTCCATATGGTTAACATTCACTTTGAAAAGACATGTTTTGCAAGCAGCCATTAGGATGTGTGAGCCTTCAAAGCCCATGCCCAGCTGGCAACCACCTGCCTTCATCCTGGGAGGCTCTCTGAGGACAGGCCAACATTGGCAGGGCTCTGAAGGTAGGAATCTTAGTTTCAAAATGACACAGTGAGGGAAACTATCCTTAAAACCTTTGAAGGCAATTTACAGAAGCAAAAGCCCTCTGGTATTTCTTAAATCAGACCAGCACTGCTTTTTTAACGTTAAGGACTTCAGCACAGGATGTGACACCTGGAAACCTCACCCTGTGCCCCTGCTGTTATGCAGGCGGCAGGGTGCAAATCCCCATCGAACATAAAGACTTGCATACCTTTTCCTCATAGTTTGGAAGCTTGTCTTTGTGTATGGTTATTATATCCATCCAAGAATAGTTTTCTGCTCTCCGGATCTCTTTCAGACATGGATCAGTCTCATAGCTATCAGCATCCAACTAAAAAATAGGCAACGGAAAAAAGGAGGGGACCAGTGATTCAGACACATGGCACAATTCAGGGCACTGAGGTGGAAAATCCCGAGCCCCCAGGAGCGCCAGGTGAAGCCAAGTTAACCGCCATGGACACACAAGCTGCGCCAGCTTCGGCAGAGGTACCTGCAGCGCTCCCTCTCTATCCCCTCACAGATACTGCTGGGCCCCGCCTACCGCCTGCCCTTTCCCGGCCTAGGCAGCGCCGCCTGCACTGACCCGGCCGGTACCGGCTCCCACTCTCCGCGCCCGAGCACCGCCCCGGGTCTGTCCCAACAGCTGCCGTCGCCGCTCCCCTCGTCGGGCGGGTGCCGGGCAGGCCTAAGGCACTGTCTCCTCCAGGCCACCTGAGGCCCCGCCAGCTCCGGGCCTTCCGGGGGGCCAGGCCCGTGCTGCCCCGCCACCGCCATACGCGCTCACTGACTTTGCGGTAGACCACGCCGAGGCGGCGCAGCTCCTCCAGGCTAACGGCGCGGTTGGGCCGCAGCCGGTGGGGCGCCCGTTGGTCCTCCGGGGACTCGTCCATGTACCAGGCCTCCACCATTCCGCCGCCGGGGCTCCGCTCCGCTGGGCCGAGCTGGGCTGGGCGGGTAGCGGCCCGCCCCGGCTGGGCCGGGGCAGAGTCCGGGTGCAGCCCTGCACTGCCAGCCTATGGCCATTGCCGTAAAGGGGCACAATTTGCAACTGAAACTACGCTGAACGAGGAGTGCTGTGCGGCAGACACGGCTTTCATTTTAGTGCACGGCCTTAGGCTCAGCAGCAAGAGGGGAGGAGAGGCCTCCATGAAGGAGATAGGTCCGCGTAAAGGGCCTCTCACCCGCACAAGTCCTCCTGGGTAACTTGCTGGTTATAGCACAGATCATGCCTAAGTTCATCAGCAACTGCGCTTACACCCATCCCGCCCCTTGCTCTGACTGAAGTTAACAATAGGGCTCAGCCTCAATGACCTGCCCTGCAACCCCACAGTATGGAAAAATAAGGAATGAACAAGGGAGCAGCAGGGGAGGAACAGTGGTAAGAAGCATTCTGCCCAGAAAGCAAAGCTCACGTCTCTATCCATGGAGATACATCCTGAGAGAGCTGCTCGGGATGACCTGCTTGAGCTGGGATGGACAAGACACACTCCAGCAGTGCCCTCCGGCCTCCTACAAACTATGTACTTCTGCAGTTCTACCTGGCAAATAAACCAACAGCCACCTAACACAATGTAAGGATGGAGAACCAGCTAGAATAATCACTCCTTAAATGCTTTTCTTCTGAAAAGAGTTTTATACTTACCAAAATATCTTAACCAGTATTTCCCAGATTCTTAGAACTGGCAACAGATCCCTTTAAAGTACAGTATTCATATATAAGCACTACTGGGTTTTGATTCTGGGTAAAATTTAAGCCCCATAACATTACATCTGGTCCAGTGCTGGTATTGCCTGCATTTTTAGAAGCACACAGGAATCCAGCCAGAGGTTCAATGCCTATCCACTGGATGTCATGGCACTAAATGCCCTGAAAGAATGACTTTCACAGCCACCATCCTCTGCAGGTCCTCAAGTCCCATTAATAAGTATTATTTGCTTTCCATCCTTTAATCAGCCTTAATCTTGTAACTTTCCTCTTAGCTTTGTTTTGTCCTACATTTCCAGAGCAAGAATGATAAAAATTGGTATCAGTTAACCTAAAACTCTTTCCTATTAGATATTCTTTAGAAATTAGATATATTCTACCTAATAGATTTAGTGAACTTGCTGAAATTCAGTATTACACAGATGCTATGATTTACCCACCATTATCTGTATTTATTTTCCAAAGCTGCTGCTTCAAAACATAGAGATTTCCATACAGTAAATAGGATCTACATGTTTAACTGGAGATGTATTGATAGGCAGATGATTAGATGCCATGCCTTCAGTATGTTGCTGGTCACGCTGTGATACCTCAACCTGATCTGATCAGGGTTGATGGTGCGTCTTCCTTCAAGGCAAATTTCTAAAATAAACAAAGAGATGGAAAATTGTGTGCATATATACAAGAGGCAGAGGGGAAGAGCTAATCAGTGGACTACCTTCCCCCTACATGAGCTTTACTGTACAGTTTTGGATGAGAGAAAGCAATTCTAAAACCTGCACTCATCTATTAACTACTAGCCAGCTTGTTTCCTCATTCTATCGCAATTCACATGACTCTAAATGCGTAAGAGCTTATACTTTGCCTCGGTAAAGATATTATAATGCATGAGTACTATTAAGAAATCAAATTTCAGCAGCTCCACCATTCTGTATCAACAAATACAAAAACAAAGTCAGCAACCTCCAGCTGAAGCCTTGCTGGTACCTTACAAAGAAGCTGACGAAGATAATATACCAAATCTGGTTGCTCTTCCCATGTATATGCATAGAAAATAAAACTATGTTGATTACTGGTAATTATTCTCTAATTCAAATGCACATTAGCCATTCCATTAATCTCATCATTGACTGGAAAAAATGAAGTCAAACACTCGACATCTGGAAGACCTAGAGAAGCTGATCACCTTCTAGTTCCATTTCAGATAAAATGGCCAATTATTTATTACCTTTGGTACAACACTGAAAAGGAACCAATAATGCTAACGTGAACCAGTATGCAGAAAAAAAATACTTAATGGAAATAGGAGGCCAGAAATAAAGAGCTTGGACATTAAGCAGCTAGTGAAAACTGTAAAAAATTCACCATTCAAGTTCTCTAAAGATCTGGCTTTTTACTTTATTCATGCTGCCTTGCAAAGTAAGTAAAATTATAAAGAAATCTCAGGCGCTGTAGCTAATGATGCTGTGTGGCACAGGTGAGTGTTACAAGCCCACCTGCTACTGCCAGAGCATACCAACAGGGATCTCTGTGTTAGGTCCCCTCCCGCAACTATTTTGGACTGTTAATATATACCTCTGTGCAACAAAATAATTTATTTTGCTAAGAGAAAAATACAGAACACAAGATAAAGATTCAATATTACTTCTTCCGAAGTCTGTCTTTACAGTGAATTCAGAAGTCTGCAAGACAATTAAAACTACTGACTGAGGCCCTTCAGTAAGATGGGGTAAAAGCAAGCACTTTGTATCATCAGATTAAACAAAAAAAAAGCAAAAAACTTGATTGTAAAACAAATGCTATGAAAGAAAATGTGATGGTTTTCTCCAGTGAAGTTGGTACATGTTTAACACTTCAGGCCATAAAGAAGTACACTTCAAAGTTCAACTCTGAAACAACTGTAGCCATTCAAGTTGTCACTGTGATCCTGGCCCTTTCCCTCCCGCTGTGATGGTCTCTAGTCTCTGTACATCAGGACCATTATTTACTAGCTCCTTCTCTTGCTAGTCTATCAGCTTCTTCATTTCCTCTGAAGCCAGCATGACCAGGAATATGCATCTGTTAGGACAAAAGGAGTGTTAGATATGCAAGAAAAAGGTACACACATGGAATTTGATCAGTCCACACGCCTTCACTCACAGTACAGCAGCACCTCTGTAGAAGCCCCCTCCTCACATTGAGTCCCTACATGTTCTTACCAGGAATGTTCAGTCTCCCTTCCTCTAGGAAAGTCTTGCCAAACTGCAAAAGTCATCCTTCTGGGAAGTAGTGAACTGGTAATAAGGACTACCTAGCCTTTAAGAAATGCAGACAACAGCTCCAACTCAAAATTCCCACTTTCAGAGAAGAGAGGAAAACCTATCTGTATTCAGTGCTTAAGCCACATTAACCTTTATCCAGAAAGCCAGAGACCCCTGTGCCACTAACAGCTTTGGTGGTTATGGCACCCGCCTCAGATACAGGAACAGGGTATGAAAAGAATCTCTCAATTTTCAGGTATTGAACTGCCCATCCTTCAATTAGCAACTGAAAACACTTCAACCCTAAGTCTTTCCTTGTCAAAGGCAGGAGTGGAGCCCATGGAGATCCATGGGTCCATGATGGAGCGGATATCCACATGCAGCCCATGGAGTACCCCATGCTGGAGCAGGGGGGTTACCATGATAAAGTGTATACATACATTACTCTTCCCAAAATAAAAGTCTTCCCAAATTTTGATTCAGCTGTTAGAAGTGTGCACAAAGCAACACTATCTTTTCTTTTTTTTTTTTATGTAAATACTCGAAGGACAGTTGAACTTTGCTTTTAGTTTTAGATTCTTGCACAGTCTTCTCAGCAGACAACAGGAGTAATTATATAAAATTCTAGTCAGCCTTTAAATTAGAGTCACCAGCTCTAGAACACAGACCAACATGAGTAAAAGAATATCTGTAATATATTTCTCATAGGAAAAGTGCACATTAAAGATCTAATTCATCCTGTTTTGTACAGAGTAAAGACAGAAGCCCAATAAATATACCATTAGCAGCCAAAAAGTCAATGGTAAAGAGATTTAGTTCTAGAATCAGTGGGCTTACATCACAATTAGAGTAAAATTTAGAAGGAAGGGGGGGTAGATATCCCCTACAATCTTCAGTGCTGAGGTCACAGAAAAATGTTTTATTAGGAATACCTGTATTCCTATTGTTTTTACTTCTTTACTGGAAAGCAAAACAATTTTAAACTTAACAATCGTAAAGACCTTTACGCCCAGTTTTCATGGAAAAAACCACAGTTACGGTACAGAGAACTAGAGTTGGTTTACTTGGGATTATAATCTCTTCGTTTTCCCATCTTAAAGACACCCATGTGATTGAGTTGCACCAATGAACCAGCATTTTAAGAGTGCTGAAAAGCAAATCCAGAAATTTAGCTATGACTCGAAAAGACAGTAGCGTTTTAAGCTTAGTTTTCCAGCAACAGAAATCTCATCTACTAACAGTACTAATGAACTAAAAGTAATTATTGCAGGCATCTAAGCAGTAACAAGAGACAGAAAACAAATATAAGCATGCATTTTAATAAATAAAATCCTGGTTCCAAGAGTCTAGTTATGTTGCTTATTTGCTTTAAATAAAAGCAGCAGCTTCTCTGTATTTATGGTTTTACTTATGGATGTAGAGTATTATGCTCTATAAAAATCTTAGTTACAATCATACTTGTCAATTTTTACAAGAAGCATGTTTAAGATGTCATTAATAAGAAATCAGGTGCTTACCCACTGAATTTCTATATCTTTTGATAAATTAGCAAGCCTTTCAAAATCTTCTTTATTTATTACACTTCTTCCTGAACTTGTCCTCCAGCCATTTGTTTTCCAGTTGTCAACCCAGCTTGTAATACCTACGTAAAGGGGGCATCACCATGAAAATCCTATTAAAGAAGCCAGTATGATGATGACGATAAAGGTCTCTTCCAACCCAAACCATTCTATGATTCTAGAATGGAGTAAAGACCCTTTTAACAAGACATTAACTGTACAAATTCTCATGCAAAGACACTGGAGATAAAAGATACTCTTTGCCTGGTTCTCTACCACTGTCTTTCAGGATTGTATTTTTCCATTATTACTTGCATTACTAGAACATGTTTTCCCTAAGAGATATTTAAACACTGCAATCCTATGTATGCATTACACACAAAATTACGACATGAACTTCACTAAACTGAAGCTAAGGATTGCCTGATGCTACAGTAAGCTAGAACAGATCTACAGTTTTATTTATTCTGAGAAATTGAGGAGACACATGCATAGAGGAAAAATAGATGACCACTTGTCCTGTGGCTTCTGCACACCAAACAGAATCCTTCAGAGAAGGACCATATATGCAGATTTCTACAGAACAGTATTTAACATTCTGGCCATCCCTTGCTGGCCAGAAAATGTACTGTATTACTCCTTAAATAAGAAGACAGATATAGCCAGAATGTTTGGAAATGTAGTCTACATGTACAAAGCAAAGAAACTTGAATGGACTTCACAAGTGTGTATGAACATAGCCTCTCCAATCCAAGCAAAACAAAATACCTCCAGGGTTACTACACCAACTTCCAAGTACTTTCCTGAGTACATCCTTACTAGTGTACACACGAATGACCTTTCTTCTAGACTTTTGTCTCATACTGAATGCCTTAAGACAAAACTCCTGTAGTTACCTCTATCAGCCTTTACTGTAACATATAGTTTGTCTCTGCTTGTATTTCATGCAGTTAGCAGGAGATGCTGCAATATTCTGAATTCTTTCTCCAAGCAGTCCTCAGTGTTGAAATAAGTTATGCATTCTCTTCCGTATATCCCTCTTCCCAAACCCATATTCTGTGGCCCTTACGTAATAAACATGCAGCATGTCTTTAAGAATCAGGAAAACTAACATCATTAACTTACCATTAATAGTGAACTTGCTATCAGTGTAGATAATAAGTTTCTTGATGTTTTGACTCTTTGCTTGCTCTATTGCTTTGCAGGCTGCCTTAAGAACATTTCAACAGAATCAAACTTCAGATCAGGACTTTGAACACATGCAATTAAAATTAAAATACCAGCAAAATACCTGATGCTAACACAGAACTACAAAGAATATTACTGCAATCTCTCCATCAGTGAGTATCAACACACTTTAGAGCACAGGTTCCCAAAATTATGCATGCTGATGACCAATTAATGAAACAGGCAAACAGGTAGCCACTGAAGCTTCACTGGCAAAGAGGAAGGATTCATACCAGTTCCAACAGACTGGAACTCCTAAAAGCTTTGGGAGGTTTTGCGGGCTTTGGAGTAGGGTTTTCTTTTTGTGCTCTGAAATGCAGTAAGAGGGAAAAGTGGCCACGTTTGGATGTAGAGCTGAAAAGACCTTCAGTGACAAGTTTGACCCCTGGCACTCCACTATCACCTCTGCTTGTCCCTCACTAAAATGAACTTCCTGTCATTTTTAAGCAGATGAATTCTTCATTTCAGTTCATCTCCAAATGCACAGTGCAGGATAGCAGCAATACCAGAACTGAAGTGAGAAGGGAAGATTAAGTCTGCTGTTGCCAACAAAGTTTACTTCATAAGTAACAAAAGTTGCTCCTGCAAGCCTAGAACTGTTATATTTATCTAAGGAACACTATACTCTTGAGACTACAGTATGGGTGCTGCCATAGTCAGGGGTTTGGTTATTTACAACATGGGACTCGCTTTGGGAAGCCAGGTCTACTAGATGCTGATGGGGCTGGTCTGACAAAGAAGGGGAAGAGATTCTCCTCTTAGTCACTACTCACCCTAAGATTCTAGATACACACATTAAAAATGCAAAGGATACAATACAAATTTGAGAATGAGGCTTTCCAAATGCCAGACTGTTTTAAATAGCTGTGCTTGGCCTGACGGTATTTCGGTATTCTCAAGGTGAACCACCTCATTCAAAATACAATGAAGATCAATTAAACTCAAAGAGAATGATCTGTTTCAAGTCATAACTCCTCATGTTTTGTGTGCTTCTCTCACAGTTTCTTAACTGTTTCTAAAGGCCAGAGCTGAAATAGTCATGAATGTGCTACTGTGGTCTAACATGCAGAAGTATTTTAGACATTTACTACTTACATGTATTTCTGCTCTTTGATTAGTCTGCCGTCCAGGAAGTCTTTCACTGGTATTTCTGTGTCCAAGGAATGAAGAGTAGAGTAGTTACCCCCAAATTTCAGAATGGCGTATAATGAACACACATTATAAAAATAAATATAAGAGAGCTACCTTTCATTTTATAAAGGAGAATGAATAAATAACCTAGCTCTAACTTCCACCTGCATATTTGGACCTGTTATCAATCTGCAGTTAAATTTGTCATCTTCAGTGCACACTTACATCTATTTTAAAACTTTCTGCATCACGTGAGTTATAGCTCCAGTCCCTAAATATATTATTTCAAGTTGCTTTTCCCTACATTCTTACCTCCCAAAGAAGCTGATTTCTCTTTTCACCTTAAAAACTCAATTGTCTCATAGCACTGTCATTATGAGGCTCAACAGCATGGTTTCATATCCAAAAGGAGGCTGGTATTGTAAACTGCATCCACACCAAACAGTAATATAGATAAAAAAAAAAAAAAGAAAAAAGAATAAATCCATCCAGCTACTTACAAAGGGTGGCTCGGCCCCCAGTAGACACCTATTCCAGCACGTGCCCTGCTACGTCCATTACCTGAGCAACAACCATCTGTATAAACGACTGCAAACTCACCTACAAAATAATTACCAAAAGCAGAAGCTCAAGAACTAGTTCAAGGGCATAGACTCTTTAAGCAAAAAGAAATGTCTGCCAGGAGATTAATCCCCAGAACTTCCCTCCCACAGAATCCTTCAGGATTCACTACAGAAGCAAAAGCAATATAAATTAATAATGCAGAACACCAGAAGTCCCACTGCAGTGTCACACCCCCAATTTGACTGGTGTCAAACTAGTCAGCCTCAAGAAGCACTTCTGCCCAACTTCCGTATTTTCACTACAGTTCCCGTCTTCTCCAATCAACTTAAAACTTCCCAGCTACATCAGTATATTTAAATACAGTCTGTAATCCAGACACACATGATGATTGCATTAAGCTCTATGCTGATACCAGTTAAAGCCAACTAAAATTACCATGAAAGACAATGTGAACAAATAAATCATGGCTCACATTTCTATCTTAAAAAGAAACTATGTTAGGCTGGGCCTCATGTTGCCATACACAAACCTTCCTAAAGGCTGTCTAATAACTACACCTGTTACATATCAAAAAGTGCAAAGAAGTTAAAAGAATTACAGGAATAATGAAAGAACTCACCCATATATGAAAATTTATCTTCACTGACTGTTGGCGCTGAGTATACTTCATCATGTTTTACACGCTTTGCAATGTGCTCTCCACCGGTAGACTGTTCATACGGCCTTTTGCACGTATTGCAACACAATGCATTTATTTCTGGTTCCTCTCTCTGGCTACCATTTTCCTGTGTTACAGGTGCAGGACCCTGTGCCCCTTCAAAAAAAAAAAAAAAAAGAAACAAAAGAAAGAAAGAAAAATAAAAAGGAGAGAAAAGAAGCTTAACTACATAGAATCGCACAATCAGCTAGGTTGCAAAAGACCTTTAAGATCGAGTCCAACCTTTACCCCAGGACTGCCAAGACCACCAGTAAACGATGTCACTGAAGGCCTCATCTACACAGTTTTTGAGCATTTCCACGAATGGTGATTCCACCACTTCCCTGGGCAGCCTGTTCCAATGCCTCACTTTTGGTGAGTTGATTTTTCCTAATATCCAATCTAAACCTCCCCTGGCTCGGCTTGATGCCCTTACCTCTTGTCCTACCGCTTGTTACTTGAGAGACCAACCCCTGCCTCACTACAACCTCCTGTCAGGTCATTCTAGATAAGGATAAGGTCCCCCCTGAGCCTTCTTTTTTCCAGACTAAACAACCCCAGTTCCCTCAGCCATTCCTCATAAAACTTATGCTCCAGACCCTTCACCAGCTTCACTGCCCTTCTCTGGACCTGCTCCAGCACCTCAATGTCTTTCTTGTAGTGAAGGGACCAGACCTGAACATCGTATTTGAGCTGCAGCCTCACCAGTGTCCAATACACAGGGGGTGACCACTGCCCTAGCCCTGCTGGCCACACTATTTCCAATACAGGTGAGGATGCCATTGGCCTTTTTGGCTGCATGGGCACATATATATCAAATCTTACCTGAAACAACTGCTCCTAAAAACAAGAGTCATTATCACCTAATGCTAGCCTCTCAACTGACACCACCACAAGCTACTATGCAAAACATTTTATAGTACACACCATTCTTGATCCTTGATCAAACTGAAGAGGAAACACACATAGCCAAATGTAAGACACAGTACAGGCAACGCACAAGCACCTACAGAAGGTACATGCACACAGAGAATCCCTTCCATTGCACAGATAAACCCATCGCTGTGTTCAGAGGGCAGGGCCACCGCCGCACTTACCACCACGGCACTCCGCCAGTTACCACGCGTCCACCAGAGAATACGAAGGGGCTGCTACCCACGTCTAACTTGTTTACAGTGAGTTTACGGGGAAGGCAGACATGCCGAGTCTCCCCCCTCCCCCCACCGTCGGACCGCCCTTCCCAACCGGACGAGGAGATGCGGAAGGCGGGGGAAGGACGAGCTACCTGCCGGCAAAGGCTGCTGCTGCGCCGGGAGGTCGGAGCGCACGAAGGCCCAGGCGTCCTTCTCAGTAGCGAACTTCTTGAAGGTAGCGGAGGGGAACTTGTTCACTTGCTCCTGACACTCCGCCCTGTAACACCGGGAGAGCACAGGCTGAAGCCGGACCGAGGGTGAGGGTGGGACAGGGCTGAGGCCGGCCCGGCTGCGGCTCCCTGTGCTGCCGCGGCCCTTACCAGGTGCGGTAAACGCCCGTCCGCCGGCCCTTGCGCACCGCGTAGAACATGTCCTTGGAAACAAAACAGGAGTGACTGAGCACCGCCACAAGCCACCGCAACATGGCGCGGCACCGCCGCCATCCGGCCCCCCGAGCCCACCCCCGGCCACCACACACCGCCGCTCCCAGCCGCACAGCGACCACACACTCGTCCACCTCTGCCTACGCATGCGTGCTGGCCGCTAGGGTAACGGGAGCGAGGGCACGTTGAGGGCTTTCCTACGGGCCGCGAGAGAGGACAAACCCGGGATAGAGGCTTGCTCTTGGGTTTTGTTTGATGTTTGTCTTCCCACTGTTACCCGGTAGTGAGGAAGTTAAGGTTTGTAAAGAACTGTGTGTGGGAAAGCTTGAAAATCTTGAGTTTATAATTGAATGTAGCAAGGAAAAACAGTGTTTTCTTACAAGCTCATAAACCTTGAGGAGTGATAGAAGTCTAAGCAATGAAGCATCTGGATCAGAAGAAGACTCATAGAAAGGTTTGGCTTGGAAGGGAACTTAAAGACCATCCAGTTCCAACCTCCCTGCCATGGGCAGGGACGCCTTCCACTAGACCAGGTTGCTCAAAGCCCCATCCAACCTGGCCTTGAACACTGCCGGGGATGGGGCAGCCACAGCTTCTCTGGGCAACCTGTGCCAGTGCCTCACCATCCTCACAGAGAAGATTTTTTTTCCAATATCTAATCTAAATCTACCTAAGAGTAACATCTATCTAAGTAACAAGAGTAAATCTAAGAGCAACAACTAACTTCAGAAAGATTAGGAAGGCAGAAGTAATTTTGAAAAGCCTAGCAAAACGGAGGATAACTCTGTTCCTAGAGGAACTTGTTTCAGTACAATACTAAAAATCACACTCTTGGAGATAAGAAATCACACTCTTGGAGATAAGAGACCCTTGCCTACAGACCTTTATTCATGGAACATGCATTGTGAAATAAATACATACTTTCTCTTTAAACAGATATGTAAGAGCCAATGATTGTGGATACAGAGTGTTAACATGTACAGAAAGGACTTTCACTGTTTAAAATGTATAAAAAGTAGATAGCTGGCAGCTGTTTTTGTGGATTTACCAGCTAGTACCCATATATAGACATGAATTAAACATTTTGACTCTGTGTGAATCAGCTCTCTGCCCACAGGCTGAAGAACCCTGATTTTGAGACAACACCACCATAATAATTGTATTTTAAAAGCCATCTAAATCAGCTTTTGTTTTCTGGGGGGAAACATGAGGTGTATGGGATCACAGCAGTTTACACAAACTCCTCATTCTGAAAGCAGCCATTCTTAAAAGACAAATGACTTCTCACAGGTGCCCTCAGCTGAAGTTCTCCTGTGCCAGCCAAAATATTGGTCGCGATCATGTGACCAGCTACCATGAGTAGCCTCATGGCCTCTAATGAGTCATTAGAATGATGACTGCACCACCTGGGAATGATGTACCCTGCAACATGCTGCACAGGCCACACTTGTCCTTCTGGGCTTGACAAGGACCCCAGGAAGGACTGGCACTGAAATATGGCACAAGTGTCAAAGTATTTAGTACATTCAAAAGTAGAGCTGATGAAGGTCATAAAACTGGTTCTCATCCCACTATTTAAATCAAGGGTTCCTGGTGTGTGTGTTCCAGCAGAGCCCTGTACCATGATGGCCTCTGAAGTAAGAAGAACCACCTGGTCCAAGCAGGTTCAAGTTCAGACTGTTGTGAGCTGCAACCCGCTGTCACACATCCTCATATCAGGAGAGTCATGTGCTTGGGGAACAAAGCTAGGGGGTCCAGGTATGTGACAAATCCAGTGCCTCAGCTGAGCTGCTGCTGAGATCAAAGAACAAAAGTTGGGGTCACTGGTATGACTGCTTCCAGAAACTGCCCAACACATACATGCTGCTTTTTTCAACTGCTAGATTTCTCTTGTAGCTCTACATAATTGTGTTGAGACAAAGCCAATCTCAAGATGCCAGAGCTGTAGAGCCTTCTATTCAGATTTACAGGGGTGGTCTAGTAAAATGCCAAGAATGTGAAACACTGACACTAATTTTGTCTTCCATTGCAGAGGCAACAAACAGGTTCAGCTTCGCTGCGCATATCAGCTGGATTACACCTCTCTTTTGAAAGAACCCAAAAGTAAACCAAAGTGCTTATTTATGTGACAGGCCTTGGGGGAATACAGAAACAATTTGGTTGGGATTGTATCAGCATATAATTACTGCATTTTTCTTGCTTTTTCCAACATACCGATGATGACAGTTAATAGAATCATAGAATAGTTAGGGTTAGAAAGGATCTTAAGATCACTTAGTTCCAACCCCCCCTGCCATGGGCAGGGACACCTCACACTAAACCATGTCACCCAAGGCTTTGTCCAACCTGGCCTTGAACACCGACAGGGATGAAGCATTCACAACTTCCCTGGACAACCCATTCCATATTCCTCCTTTCATATTGCTCTTACTTAAAAAATGCTTACATCTGATTTTCTCAGATCACGATTATTTACATTAGTTATCCCTGTAAAGGTTTCCAGTGAGACTTTCAGGCTTTTCACTATTTCCTGCTTGTGATATTTTTATTTTATTGATCTTGGTTAGCTTTTAATTATGGTTTTCTATAGCAGATGGATTTCTTATTCCATACATGTTCATACACATTACTCTTAGTCTTCTTTGGGCAACATGTACTGAATGGAGTAATGAGCAGTCAGTGATGGAGAAAGAAAAGACAGTCTGTTAAGCTCATTAGTTCTCTAGCTGAACAGATTCAGACATCCAATTTATATGCAAGGACTAAACAGTAACTCTCCTGCTGTCATGGCCAACATGCAGAGCTCAGATTAAAACAAATAAAAAAAAAAAAACCAAAATTTTAATTCCACTGAGTACCATACACATTAGTTTCATTGCTTTTTCTCCTGGTTGGTAAAACTGAGGCTGCACATAGCCAGCTAACTCTACCCTTACTGCTGCATCTCTGTTGCTGATTTTTCCTTGCTGTTGTGCTGCAGTGGCAGGTGAGATGGATCCCTTCCCTTTTCTCATGTGGCAGCTGGCATTTTCGCTATTGTGGCATTTAGCACCATGAGGCTAAGCAATACCTGTGCTTGCTTCATGGTACTTCCTCTCTGGTTGCTGTAGCTCTAGTGGATTCAGGGGGGGGGGGGTCAGTCAGCCGAGGGCAGAGAGGATGTTTCAGGCTCTCTAATTCACGTTTTTGTGAAGTGAGTGCAAGGACCCAAGAAGCAACCCATTTAGTCCCCACCTGCAAAGATGAAGGCTCCAGATGAGCTCTCCTCATCTAAATACAGAATGTAAATATATACATGGATAGGACTTTAAGTGGGTTTCATAAATGATTTAGCACTTTTAGTCAACGTCAGTTACACACAGCAACTCTTTGTAGCCACTGTAGAATAGGCTGATGAGGTATACCATATGATGAGTTTTCCCATATCAAAGCTTCCATGAGTGCTGAGATATTGGGAATGAGTGGCTAAGTGAAAAGGAAGGAGAATAAGTGATCCTGTTTTGGTGGAAACATGGTGGCACCATGCTGAATGAGAGTGGTCACTGAGCCATGCATGGCCTGGTAGTGAGCGTTACTCTCACCACGCTGCATCATAAATTCAGCTGTGTTTTACTGTCTCCATTATTCAGCTTATAAGAGGTGCTCTGTTCTAACACACACTTCCCCCCCCCCCCCCCCCCCAACTTGTGTATTCATTTATTAACATATATTCTTGGCAACCATTTCTGTGTTCATAACAGTTTGCAGAAAAAAACCCATAACTCAACATATGTATACAAAAAATACACATCACTTTAGTAAGGGCATGTGTCTGTATGGCATTTTTACTTAAACTCACTGTAAATTTATCTGACTACTTTGCCCCATATTAATGTATGTATTATACACATTAGCTAAGCATTTTAATCTTATTTGATAAATATTTTGGCTTGTAACATGGTTAACCACAATGTAGTTGCCCACATAAGCTTTTAAAGCCAAATTTGATGTGACCTGAATCAAACATTTCCTATTTAAAACTGAGATTTTAGGTAGGTAAGCAACTAGGTAGTCTTTTTATCTGGCATACCCTGCGAGTGTAAGTTATATGGCTGTCACATTACCTTGATTGAAAACATGACAGGAAAGGAGCTGTTTTATCTTCCTTGTCACAACTGAGATCTTGCAGAACAAAAAACTTGCTTGTACTTCAGTGTAAAACTATGTGTCAGTGAAGCCGCAAAGTAGTAACCCCTGGTATCATCGCAGTCTTCAGCCGACCTTTAGTGGAACAGTCCACCCATGAGCTTTGAAACTCTGGTATGGTTATACAAGCCTCTCCCAGGAAAGTGAGCTGGCAGTTCTACAGGTAGCTCTGATCCTGACAAGTCCTGCCTTCTGTCTCTGTCTCCCACTTATATGAGATATTGTCCTACCGCTGTTGGGATACTTCTGTAACACACCTGACATTCTTTCCACTTCTTCACCCCACCCATTCTGAGTCTGCACAATGTAAGAACTTTATTCATTATACTACTTTGTTATGACATAACTTCTTCTAAAGATCACATGCCCACAGTGATTTTTGAAAACCTGTCAGCTGCTTTGCATACCAGACACTGTTGACTGGGGTAAAGCCAACATACATCTCAACATTGCATCTTCCCCTGATGTATAGTCAGTGTCAGAAAGAAATCTATCTACACCTTTTCTCGTTGCTCCAATGTAGCATTCAGGTCTATTCAGCAGCAGTAATAGCATGAAGATGGGCAACTGTAGACAGTCATCTATATTTTTATTTCTTCATCAGCATTCTGAATAGTCAAATTTTGATCCACCTGTATGCCACTTAGTCCTTCTCCTTGTCATGAAGGCTTTCAAAGTAGAAACTGCATGTGGACTACTGGACTGCTGAGGTGATTACTTGTCATCTTTCTTTTTTTACTCTTCGATAAGATCCTCACCAGTGTTGTGTAGATAATTTAAAATTTCTATAAATACTAATCCTGGCCATCAGCATGAGCTGGGCAGTTTTTCCTATTTGTTTAATTCATGCAAGGGAAGAAGACTGACTTGGGAGAAAATGGGAACTGAACAGTCTGCTTTTCTGACTATCATAAATACATCAAAAAGCCCACAAATGTTTGAAAACATGGGCTGCCTTCAG